GATCCATGATCTCCTTACTCAGCTTGGATCCAACGTAAACGAGATGCTCTAGCTCCTCATCTATTTGAATATGTTCCAGCTCTTTTGATGGTGTTGACCTGAATTCTAGTTCATCCCTCATGTCCAGCTCATCCAATTGGATGCTCTTGACCTCCTTATTTTTCATGGATGCCATGTAGCATTCCCGTGCTATGCGCTGGTCTCCTTGGACCACTCCAACTCTGTTTTCTATTGAAAACTTCACTACAAGGTGATAGGTAGAGAGAATGACCCTTATAGAATTGAGCGAGGGTCTTCCAAAGAGCATATTGTATGCTGAAGGTGCATCAACCACTAAGAATTTCACAACTATTGTAGCTTGATAGGGTGGGTCACTTAAGGTCAAGATGAGTTGGATTGACCCCAGTGGCAGCACCCTTTCTCTTAAGAATCCCAATAGGTGAACACTTACTGGTTCAAGCTTTTCCCTTTCTATATCCATCTTGTTAAAAGCAGAAGCAAAAATAAAGTCTGTTGAGCTGCCATTGTCAATCAAAACACGATGTACAGTTCTGTTGGCCACCACAACTCTTATCACTGAAGGGTCATCATGGGGATGTTGGCAACCCTCCAGATCTGAATCTGAGAAAGTGATTGCCATGTCTAAGCGTGGAGACTTAGACACAGTATATACTTCGGGAGCTTCTGTGGCTCTGATTTTTCGCAAGTGGGCCTTTCTGGCATAGCTGGACCCTCATTCTCTAGCAAATCCTTCAGATATCACTCTAATCTCCCCCATAGATTGCTGGTGTGGCTCTGACACTTGACACTAAGGGGGTGGAGGTGGGAGAGCTCGGTTTTGACTATCATTGGCCATATAGCGCCACATCTGCCCTCGTTGGATCAGAAATTCTATTTCCTTCTTCAATTGGATACAGTCGTCAGTGTGATGTCCATGGTCTCTGTGGAAGTCACAATACTTCGTAAGATTCCTTTTTGCTGGATCTGCTTTCATCTGAGGTGATCACCTTAAAAACTTCTCATGTTGCACCTCATACAGTATCTGAGATACCGTAGCAGTCAGAGGCGTGAGCTGCCGGGGTGCATACCTCGGTTGTAGCTTTGGTTGGGGAGGGCCGAGGCGATCCCTGATATTTCCTCTTCTCTTCGGGGAATGCTTTCTGTCTCTTCTTAGAGACTTGCCTCATTCTCTTTCTTTTCTGGGACTTCGGTCTCTTTAATTTTCTTCCTTCCCTTTCTCCTTTCTCGACGAAGAGCTCCCGACCTTGGAGAGGAGCACTTCCTCACCATTTATGTACTTTTCTGTTTTGACAAGCACCTTCGCCATACTAGCCTGGGGGTTCTTTGAGATGGAAAACATCAGATCTTTTGACTGAACCCCCAGACCTGCTATGAAGGCTATAATAGCAAATTTTTCATCTGAAACATCCACCTTCAAGGATTCTGAGTTGAACCGTTGGACATAAGACTGTAGGTTCTCATCAGGTCCCTGTTTCACATTTAACAAATGGTAGCTCGGTTTCCTATAGGTCCGAGCTCCAATGAAGTGGGACACAAACTAGATTGAAAGCTCTTTAAAAGAGGAGATCGAGGCTGGAGGGAGTCTGTTGAACCATGCTAAGACTGAGCCCTTCAGGGTGATAGCAAAGGCCCTACATCTCACTGGATATTGATATCCATGCAACTCCATTTGATTTTTTTAGGTGTTGAGGTGATCCACGAGATCCTTTGTCCCATCGAAAGCATCCACCTACGACACTCTGAATTTATGTGGGAGAGGGAAGTGCAACACCTCAGCAGTGAATGAGGATTCGGTTTGCTGTACCAAGGTGTCCATAGTGACTGGGGCCTTATTCTTCACTGCCTCCTTTATCTGGCTAAGTTCTTGCTGGATGTCTTTGAAACGTTGCTCCCAGTGATATTCTCTTCTCTCCCGTTGACAAGGGAAGAAATCGCTCTTCTCCCATTTCTTATACTAACTTTGCACTTCCTCGTTGTGACCATCCCTAAGGGGATAGACGAGGTTCTTGCCCCAAGGTCTGTCTATTCTCTCCCACCTCATTAACTTCTCTGAGGGGGTCGAGATACGGTTGCTCCCTTGGTGGTGGATTATTCTGGCCTCCTTGGGCTGGTCGCGCCTCCTGTGGGCGTTGTAAGAGCTTTAAGAGTTCTTCGTTATGTTTTATCAGACGTTCATTGACAAGACGAAAAGCCTCCATCTCATTATTCATGGGAAGGCTCCCCATGGGGGGATCTGCTTCTTGCGCATTTTTGGGTTGTCTGCTATTTGCAGCTTCCTATTGATCTTGCATCCGTAGAGGATTGGTCTGACTTCGGCTTATGTTTCGCGTTAATACCATCAGTCACTGAAAAATCAGTTTTATTTGTAACATGAACAGTCGTTCTTACAGACGGCGCCAAACTGATGGTGTAAACCAAATTGTATAAGTAATGAATCGTAATTATGTTTTGCAGTAATGGTAGTGTGATAAATGTTTTTCTAGGGGCTGGGAGGATTAACACAGAAGAAGTATAGTGGTTCACCAGCTCGGGATTTCGGCTAATCCACTTGTTAATGGAGACTCTTTCTCCTTATTTTTCAATAATGAGTACAAGAATACAATGACTAGTTTTTGTCTCTAGGGTTCTCTACCCTTCTTTGGGGGTGTTACATAGTATTTATAGAGCTGTTCCCTATTCAGTGGGATCTTGGCCGAGATTCTTACCCTTATTTTGTGGGGTTCTCCTTATTTCTAGGAGAAGCTCTTGGTTGGTTGAGATTAGGTGCCTTGATTATAGCTTCCTAACGCTTCAGGAACCTCTTGTGGTTATCTAGTCGTTGCCTTGCCTCAAATGACATTCAACCCTTTGCCTTCTGATCTTAGTTAGTATGATTGACCTCCCGGTCTGAGCTGAACTCCTGAGCTAAAACTTGAGATTTTACTTTAGGCATCATCAATAATAAAGAGATAAGAGTTAGTAAATAGAAAACACAATTAATTTACCATGTATTTGTAGCTGTTGATTTCAGAACAATACCCAAAAATGTGACAAAAAATTCCCAAAGAAAAAAAGCATTCACCAACATATCCATATACCCAATTCACATCGAATATTCCAATTTTTCATTTTCGTAGCCCACATCAACTACAACTAGAAAAAAAAAAGTGAAAAGGAATAACAATTATCAAAAAAACACAAACTACTAAAATTAAGTCGACCAAGTGTCAAGATTTGTGAGTGAAAAAAGTTTAAAGTACAGTTAAAATGAGGATCAAATTCAACAAATCACACATTATCATCAAAGCACAGTTTTACATTGTGTTATATATTTTCAAACCAAAAACTTAAAGTCCATTTTCAGTAATTCTCTCTCAATAACCAAACTATGATCATGTGCTAATTAAATAACCATTATTGTGTCTAATAATTAGATACATTCAATCATACCATTAATGATGGTCTAGAAAAAGAAAAAAAGCATTCCATTAATATGTTACTTATTCGACGTTGCTTTGTGTCCGAATGCTTCAATCGTATAGCATTAGCTCATCATTGCTCTTGCTACCTGCTCCCACAATAAAAAAAAAAAACCAGCTCAACAATGCGATGTAGCTATATTGAAATTTACAATCATAAACAAACAAATTAACTCCTTACACTCAACTAAATAATCAGAGTTTGCAAGTCAAAAAATTAGAATGTCATATGAATATGATAGACACAAATATAGTTAACAACAAGATAGGACCAGAAAAAGAAAAAATAGAAAACATACTATTAATTCTATGGCCATGGGTGGTTTTAATGTAATGTGAAAAAATCAGTTGAAGCCGTCGAATAAATGCATAGGTCATTATGTATGTAAAAAAAAATACATTTCAGCACATGTTTATTTTTTAGTAGTAGACACATTCTAAAGAAGTGTCGAGCACATCACAATAGTAGTGTCGGACACATATCCAAAATTAAAATTTTATTATTTAATTATAAACACAGATAAAAGAATATTTGACACATGTTTGAGAGTGTCCGAAGTGAATCGACGTCCAACACGTGTTCAACACGAATGCGTCATCTTCTCGAAATCATTCTGCTTGGGAGTTAAATCTTTCACGGCTTAGTCCATGTTTGATGATGTTTCTGAATGCATAACAAAATTGAATCTAAAATACAATGTGCAGAAAATTGATGGCCAATCACCCCTATGCCATGCAAGCTAATATTTTCCATAATATATTTGCCTTATTCATCTATCATACAACATTTATGTGGCCTAGGGTCTAAAAAGAAAACCAGAACGCCAATATCTCCACAAAGCGATGGATTTTGCATGCAAATTGTAGTAACAGGGGATGAACACTTCATTTGCTCTCAACTTCTGTATTTAGCAAAAAAAGTTTTCACAATTTTTTTTTTATACTTGAATTGTTGCGTATAGCCAAATTCGTAAAATCTCTCCATATTTATTTCCACAAATAATATTTTTCAAGTAATTATTTTTCTTGGTTAAAGCTTCGTATTGGGCCATGCTTGAATTGTGGACAGGTCTTTGGATAGCCTGTTAGCTTAGTGAGCAGATCTGGAATCCCGGACTGTTAAGAGTGGCGTGCATTGACCAGTCGGATTGGCCCAACCTGGCCCAAATATCTTCAGACTTTTGGGCGGGCCCAATCAAATGGTCCACCATTTGACTCGCGAGAATAATACTCAAATTTTTAATTCAATACAATTATTTAAACTTAATATGGTTGATAATCGAGACGAACTTGTCGAGCTCTTTTTTTAAACAAATCTAAAAAAATTGTTCAAATTTAGCTCGTTTGAAAATGAGCCGAGCCGAGCTAAACCCGAATAACTCAATTTTTTTATATATAAACGAGCTGAATTTTGTGAACTCTAACAGAGTATATTTAGGCTTGTTTTTTAAACATATTTAAAAAATTGTTCAAATTCAACTCGTTTTGATTCGGGTCTTATCTGAGTTAAATCCGAATAGCTTAGCTCAGTCCCAAAATGTCAATTGCATTGTTGTAAATATTGGACAGCTCAAAGGCAAAATTTCTACCCTTCGTCTCCCCCACGTCGACATCCACCGGCTGGCGGTCCTTTTTAGGCATCACTATAGTTGAATTCGAGCCATCAGCGAACAATTTCTCGATCATGGACTTCTCTCCTCCGACATCCTATAGGTATTCTTCCTTTGCTCTTAGAGATCCCTTAGTTGAATAAAGTTATTCTCTGTGGGAATCACAGAAAACCTAGAAATCTAGTTCTGTATTCCATCAACAAACACTACACTAAAGGCCTTTTTAAATGACCATATGGTGGTTCAGCCAACTACAGCGCAGTACATAAACAGATACACTGAGTTTTCTTCTGTTGTAAATTATATTTACCCCCCTGAACTATTATTTTTGTTTCATTTTTCACCCTTAATTATAAATTTTTTTACATTATATCTTAAAGTATCAATTTTATTTCATATCATTCAAATAAATATGAAACAAAATTAATATGAGAAATTTTATAGTTAAAAGTATAAAATAAAATAAAGATAATAGTTCACAAGGGTAAAGTGTAAATTACTCACTTGAAGATATGGCAAACATAATAATTAAAGAGCAATGCTATATAGATTTAAAAAATAAACTTAAAAATTAGACTCGATAATTTCAATCATTAATTTTACTGTGAATCCCAAAATTTATTAGGATCTATTACCTATTCAATAGTTGAGACTATCAAATATAATTTTTAAATTTATGTAGCATTACTCATAATTAAAAATGCGGCCACCGCCGAAACCATAGAATAAAACAGACAAATACGTGCCAACTTGGTCCCGTTGAGGAGAAACAACGAGCTGAAGGAGCCAGAGAAGGCGAACATGATTGAGATGATGAAAACGTGAAAGGTAGGGGGACGGCCCTTAAAGAACATTGTGGGTACTCGGTTTTTGTCTATGATGTCGTAGGGAAGAAACGGAAGCGCAGCCGCTACGGTGGAGTTGACCACCAGAATAACAGATGAAGCTGTACTCTCGATTGGTTGAAACAGAGACTTGACGGCGGCGAGAGGAGCAAGACCCAATCCAGAAGCTATGGACGAGCCACTCTTCTTTCCCATCTTCGTTACACAAGGTAAAGTTATCAAATTAAACAAGACTGAGACAGCTCGTAGGAAATTCTTACATAGAAAATGGAGAAAAAAAAAAAACTACATTCTTGTTTTTTGGCTCCTAGTTATCAAATTAGAAAAGACTGAGCACCTTGAAAGAAATTCTTACATAAAAAATGGAGAAAGAAAACAATGACGTCTTTGTTTTTTGGGTACCATAGTTATCAAATTAGACAAGACTGAGCATTTTGAAGTAAATTCTTACATAAAAATGGAGAAAAAAAATGTCATCTTTGTTTTTTGGGTACCAGAGTCATCAAATTAGACAAGATTGAACACATTGTAGAAAATTCTTACATAAAAAATGGAGAAAGAAAATAATGACATCGTTGTTTTTTGGGTACCACAGTTATCAAATTAGACAAGATGAGCACCTTGTAGGAAATTCTTACATAAAAAATGGAGAAAGAAAGCAACGACATCCTTTTTTTTTTGGATACCATAGTTATCAAATTAGAAAAGATTGAACATCGTGTAAAAAATTCTTACATAAAAAATAGAGAAAGAAAACAATAACATCTTTGTTTTTTGGGTACCATGGTTATTCAATTTGGCAAGACTGAGCACATTCTAGGAAATTCTTGCAAAGAAAATAGAGAAAACAAACAACATCCTTGTTTTTTTGATACCATAGACTCCGTATTATGACCAGAAGAACACAGGATGGTCGCTATCACCTACGCTCACTTTCTATGCGGTTTTGTCCTTGTAATGAAGTTTTTAATGCGTGGCTTTTCCCTTGTAATGAAGTTCTTATCGGGCGGTTTTGTCCTTGTAATGAAGTTCTTATCGGTTCAAAATTGTAAGTAATCACATTTGATCACAAATATATTTATTCATAATTTATGTCCTTCGTATTGGATGATATCTGCATGTTTGGATGGTTTTGGGGCGACGGAGACCGACTTGCATTTAAAAAGCCCTTTCAAACCTAACATGAGATTCATAAATAAATCCTATACATACCTTTATTTTCTAAGTAACATAAAGTCATGTTAGACCCACAGATTAATCACAATTATTACTAAATATTTGTCATATAATTAATTAAATTGTTCATTGACTAATTCAATTCATACTCATGTTTGTTTAAATTAAAAGTACAAACATATTTTCACAATTATATCCGATTTGGTTTATTTGAAACCCACTATCTTTGGGCATGTTTGGTATGTGAGTTTGGATGAGATTAAAAGGGTTTGCGAAAGTACATGTATATTGGTTTCATCATTCGGCCAGTTATGAGCCGAAAGTGTAATCTGGGACTTAAAAGTTGTAACCAATAGAGGTACAATTTGGGTAGGTTGGGCGGGTTGGATAGTCAACTCTAGGTATATAATCTTTAACCCTAATCCTAACTTTAACCCTATATCGAGTTGAGAAACTCAACCCGAACACTACCCGAGTTTAATTCGGACGGGCTCAAGTTGAATTCGGGTTACTTTACAATTCAATTCAGGTTGAGTTCGGGTAGAACCCAAAATAAGTCTGTTGTTCTAAACCTAATACATATATTACATAATATTCACCTAAATTAATGTCCAATAACTTCAACCAAGTTTTTAACAGTGCTAATGCTAGAACAAAAATGAAAATGAACGAGAGAAATAGAGAACGATAAAACAAAAATGAAACATCAATGCTAATGCTTTATATATATATATACTAGTTATTGTCTGTGCTTGAAGGCATAGAATAATAAAAAATGATAAAAAAAATAAACATATTTGTATTCATATCTAAAATTAAAATCACAAATATAGAGAATAGATAAATGAATTTAAGCATCGATTTGTAGTGAGAATGAGAAGTGGTGGACAACAGTGGTGGTGGTTGTGGTGGGTGACATTGATCGTGGTGACAGTGGTGGTGCTGGCGGCGGTGGCGACAATGGTGGTGGCAGTGATGGTGGCAGCGATGGTGATGGCAGCGGCGGCGGTGATGGTAGTGGCGGTGGCGATGGCGGTGACGGTGGTAGTGGTGGAGCGATTCAAACACTTTTTTTTTTTAAAAAATATTTATGAGAAATAATTTTTAAAAGTACTTTTATTTAAAAAGTCACTCCAAATACACCCTTAAAAGCCTATTGTTCTTATTAAATTTAGGGTATTAATATTAACCGTCGGATTAATTTTAAAGTAAAATTTAAAGCGATCTCAACCGCGAAAAACAAAAATTATTTTGTTTATTTTTTAAGATTTGAATTGTAAGTTACTTTATTATATAAATATAATTTTTTTTTCATTTGTCGGGTTGAGGTTGAAATCGGATTGGGATTTTTAACCCAAACTCAATTCAAATTGAATTCGGGTTGGAGTTTTTTGACCCAAGTTCAATCCAAATATTAAAAATCCTTGCTCAAGTCCTAATTTTTTCGGATTGAACTCGGGTTAAAATCGGATTGCCAATCCAAATTACACCCCTCAGTAACCAAACATGTTTTTTACTGGTGCATCAAACTATTTTCCTTAAACCTATCGTACCTAACTCTCCCATAACCCATCAAACAAACAGGCCATTCTGATTAAAATTATTAGTAAATGATTTTGCAAACAAACTAAAATTTGATGAAGACTAAAATAATACAATAAAAAATTGAGGAACAAAGTGTAAGTGAACATATACTTTTGGGAAGAGCCACGATGGCCTAATGTCTTCGTAATCCGTCATTTATTAAGGTATATAAATGAGTGCTATGATCCGTATTGCCGCTCTGAGTCTATCAACCACATGACATGAAAATGGGATCACGTGTGATATATTGAAAGATTAATTTTACTGCTTGTTTGACACATTTGGTTTTTTGCTTGTTGCTGGGTGCTGGTTTCGTTCTTGCTGGTGGCTGGTCTTTCCGATCTGGTAGCAGATTTTTGCTGGTGCCTTTTTGCCATGATGCTGCTATTCATATGGTGGTGCTGTGACATTGTTGCTGGTTTTTTGCTGGTGCTTTCTTGCTGCTTTACCATGATGCTGATGTTACTGCTTCTGTTTGGTTTTTGTTCATTCTATTTTCTTTTTGTTTTTGGATGGCGTATCTTCTTTCTTTCCTCGTGTTTAAAAGATCAACTATCCCGTTGGAATCTCTTTTGTACATGCATCTCTTTCGATTTTAATGATATGAAAAATACTACACAACCTACAAGGAACTCAAAAATTACAATTCAAATGTATATTATCCTTTTGATAAGTATCGAATGAGTGAGTTTCAGTTTCACTAAAAATGTTAATGAGACCCACTCATCCAAAGGATGATATATATTTGAGTTGTAATTTTTTAGATTTCATTCGGATTGTGTAAAATTACTCTAATGATATTCCTCTTATTTACTGAAAAAATGATATTCTTGTAGATAATTTGTTGATCTAATGAATCATTGTTATTAGATTAATGGTAAACCTTAGTATTTTTTGAGATCCGTTTACAAATTAAATTCAAATAAAATTTTTCATATTGAAAAAGAAGACAAAGAGACAACTACAACACACTATAATAATCATTCATATATTTATAAAATACAGAAAACATAACATTTTATGATCACATTTTTTTTCCACAATCAGTGTGTTTGTCACAAGGAATGGTGGTTGGACTTTTAACATCAGGGTGGTATATTTGGGCAGCATTAGGAACGCAGGTGCAGTGGCCATTAAAACAAGTAGCGAATGGGGGACAGTGGTCTTTGCAGTCATTCTTCGTTGTTCAAGTCTCACTCTCCAGATCCTCTCTTGAGAATGGAAGACCTGTAAACATTGTTTCCCATCATTCATCAATAATAATACAAAGTAATGATAGAAATACATAAAATTCTTAACACAACCCATTTATGTATAGTTAGAAAACAACAAATTTATTGGATATATGTTCATTCGAGCCATAACCGTGTTGACTTTAATGGCTAACTCAATAAATTGGTCTACATGAATCGGCAAATTCATATGATAAAGTACTTTATACAATACCAACTCAATAATACATAATTGTGAATCAATAGATATGAATTGAACAAAGTTTGATAGATAAGCGTTCCACCACAAAAAAAAGGGGGTAACATACCGATTACCTGTACTCCTAGCTAACAATGAGTGTGAAAGATTTAGTGTCTGTGTGTGTTTCAGAGAGAGAGAGAGAGAGTGACAACTGACCAGAAACAGGAGGATGATAAAGGAAGCCAAGTGAAATGAAACCTTCTCCATATCTTCTGTTGGTAGGCGGAAACCAAGCTGGCTATGGGGTTGTACTTAGTCCTGTAATATTCAAGCTCACAGGGACAATACTTATAGGGTTCTTCTCCTAACTTGAAATTTGTGTCAGTAGTTAATGCATTCTGATCCATTCTGTTTGTATGTCGATTAATTTTTCTGGAACTACATGCATGGTAAGTTGGTAGGATAGGGACTGGATGACTCCTGCTTCACCTGTGAAAAGCGAATTCTTCTTTAAGAGTGTTAATGCAATGTATATATTGTTTGTCTCACATGGTTAGACTAAGAAATTTAATTATTCCTTTGTACTATAAACAGACCTCTCCTGTATGTAATAAATGACACCAAAGCAACAAACAATTTTTATTCTCTTCTTTTACATAGTATCAAAATCTAGGGTCGTGAATTTTTTTGGTCAAAAATAATATACTCTGTGGTTGCCTTGTGAAGGATCCTCCACATCAGAATTCTTGAGGCTCCTCTCCTTCTGGCCATCCTCTGGCAAGTTTCTGGTCATCATCTGACAACTCCCCGATCGCCTCCCGACCATCCTCCAACGAAGTTACTATTCGAGGGGTGTTTCCTTAGTAAGTTATTATTTTTGTTAAATTGTTGTGATATTGATTTTAGCTTTTGAATCCTAGTTATTAGGTTGCTCTTAATTGAGGTTTTTTCGTGAAAGATAAATCTCTCATAATCTGGTCTCAAGAAATTACTAAAATTTGAAATTATAACATATGAATTTACAGTTCGTCCTTATGACCACTAGAATGTTCTTGTTACCACAAGATTCAAACTCATAACGTGCCCAATAATATTTTCCCTCTAACTGTCAATGGACAAACAATAAAATGGCATCTTTTTGTTGCTTAAGGAATGTTATTTGTATCATATATAAACGAAGTGAGCAATAAGTTGTTTGTGGCAGTTGATTTTTAGCTACGAAATTTTTCATGGCTGAAAAAGCTTATTTCTTTTAGTTTCGTAAGTATACAAAAAAATAAAATAAAATAACATTTTGATGTATTCATTTAGCCTTGCAAAATGCCATTTAGTGTTCATCAGCCAATCTAGGTAAAGAGAGTGACATTAGCCGGTGTGAAATGCTCCTAGCCGAGCAATTACACATTTTTTTGCAATTATGCACATGGGTGGCCGTGTGTGAAATTCTCTCTTATAGTGCAAACAAATGAAGAAAACATTGATTATACGAAGAAGGTTTTAATATTTTTATTGCTTTTTAGGGTTTAGAATACATAATGAAGTTAGGTATGGAATTACCACGACCAATTATGGATTTAAGAGGCTAGAAATAAATAAAACCAGTCTTTTGTCAACTTTATTTTTTTGATGCTGACAAAGCTAACAACTTGAAATTCCTATGGACCATTGGGGGGAGGGGGGATCTCAAAACACGCGCAAGCACAAATTTTGTTCTCGACATCTCATAGTTCGATTTGACACTTCGGATCACATTTATTTTCACAATCACTGTGTTTGTGACAGGGAATGGTGGTTGATCTTTTAGCATCAGGGTGTATTTGGGCAGCATGATCATCGCAGATGCAGTGACCACTAGTACAACTAGCCCATCCAGGACAGTAGCCTTTGCAGTCATTCTTGGTTGTGCAAGACTTCCCCACCAGTTCCTCTCTTGAGAATGGAAGACCTGAAAACATTATTTTACATCATACATCAATAGCAATACAAAATAATAGGGGAAAGACTGACAATTCTAAACACGACCCATCTATCTAAAGTTTGTTGGATATATGTTTATTCGAGTTATAATTGTGTTGACTTGGGTAACTAACTCAATAAGCTGGGCTATATGAATTGGAAGATCCATATGATAGTACTTGACATAATATGAACTCAACAATCCATAACAATGAATCAAATAGATATGCATTGGACAAAGTTTTATGGATAATCGTTTCACCAAAAAAAAAAAAAGGTAACATACCAATTACCAGTCCTGGTTAACAATGAGTGAGTGAATGATTGAGAGTATGGGTTTGTGTGTTACAAATAGAGAGAGAGAGAGAGAGAGAGAGAGAGAGAGAGAGACCACTGACCAGATAGGAGAAACAGGAAGATGATCAAGGAAACCAAATGAAATGAAGCCTTCTCCATATTTTCTGCTGGTAGCTGGAAACAAAGCTGGCTATGGGGTTGTACTATGTCCTGTAATATTCAAGCTCACAGGTACAATACTTATAGCCTCTATTTGGATTGCGGTAATCTTGGTTGAGAATTGTAATCTCATTCCTAATCCCATGAATTACCTTATGTCATTAATTCACACCTGTCTTTTTCTTCCCTTTCCTCTACCTATCTTTAATTTTCTCTCTCTTTATTTTAATTTAAACTGCATAATTAAAGAAAAATAAATAAATTATAGAGTATCTTCAACACAGGATTATTGCTAGTGTGGTCATTGTTTTCATAATAGCAATACTATTGGGATCTAATTTACTGACTTAATTCACTGTGACATTTGGATTGACTATGGAGCCCATCAAATATTGGAATTTAGTGTTGATCTAAATGGTTTTACTAAAACCATATCATTATGTCAATAAATTAGGTTAACTTTTTAGATTCAAATAGTATTACCCTTTTCATAAACCCTTTGTCAACAAGTGTGGTGAACTGCTCATTGTAATTTATGAATCATGTGTTATTTTAAACCACAAACTATTGTACCTCTATTACTATTTCATTTGAAATTAATTTTAGCCTACCTTTAATATTATGTAATTAATGATAGATACCATATTAACTTTCCAATATACCAACAAAAATGATAGATATCTCATCTTTTTTATTGGAAAAAGAGCAATGCTATATAGACTTGATAATCTCAATCATTGATTTCACTGTAAGACTGCAATAACCAAGAGTATACTTCAATATTGTTCAGAAGTTACAAGAAAATTAAAAAAAAAAGAAGTTAAAATTTATAATCTAGTGTGGTTACTCTAACATAGAACTGTTTATGATCGATCTGAATATTTTATACTAATCTTAAGTTTTTGGTTGTAACTTGGCCCTACTTAGAATTTATAATTTGACAAAAAAATATTTAATTTTGATACAGTACTTCCTTCTATTTTGTGTCTTACCCCTGCATTGAGATCATTGTTACAAGGAAGACATTGTACACGTTGCTTTCGATAATGTATGGACAGCCCCAAGAGGTAGTTTAGTGGAGACATAAGCAAGCTGTAAATTCAAATATCTTGAATTTAAAATTTGACAACTCCCTTGAGACAAAATCATGAGAAATTTATCTCTTATAAATTCTTTAGTCCTAACGTGAATAACTTATCTTAAACTGAACAGGAAAGAAAGTCGAGATGCGCATAAACTCGCAAAACATCTTGAATGCAATGCCAAAAACATCTTGAAAGTCATGTTTACATTTGCATGACGTTCATGTAAGTATTAGAATATTTGTTAATCAGGAATTATTCAACTAGGTGTAATGTTCTCCTACTAAACACATTCACTAAATTGCAGGTAATACCGAACTCAATTTTATTTATCATTCATGAGTGAAGGATCCACGTATATGTGATACATCCCACTTAAATACATATATAATAAATTATCCGTTAAGAAAGAAATTTGAAAGAAAACATATCACTCCCGTACGAAGTAGCATATTTTTCAATCATTTACAAGTGCATAAACAAATTCCTCGAGAACATTCCTTGAATATGCATTTAGGAGGACAGAGTTTGTCACAATCACCATCGCTCTTGCACTTCTTAGTTTCTTTGTCAATGGAGCCTTCCGCAGACGGTTTGTCATTGCAGGTGCAATGGCCATTGATACAGGCTACGTACCCTACGTTGCAGAACTTAAAGCACTCATCGGAAATTTTACATTGCTGCGGCCCTCGGTTGTCTCCAGACACCTGTGATAATTCCAAACCTGCCAACAATGGTGTCGGTGTTATGTTCGGATTATATTATTTTATCATATCATATTCACATCAATCGAGATTAATAACCCGTGCTATTTTGACCATGTGTACTAGACTTGAGTGTCTCATAAATGAAAGAGTATGTTGTACTTAGTAACCTCAAGCTATTATGCTCAAGTCGCGTTGTCCCTAAACTATTCTTTTTCTCATATTTATACTTTAAAATGATTGGCTTGAGTTTTACATTGCCCTAATTGTTTACTTTTGCATTATTTATTATGCAAATCACGACAAAAATGAAATTATGAGACAAAACCAATAATTAAAGAACAATGTGAAACGACTGACATAATTCAAGAGGACTAAGTCTAATTTGCAACTGAAGACCTATGATCAATGGAAAACAGTAAACTCTAAACCAATTTAAACAATACTAGATTAAGAAATAAGAGAATAAGAAGTCATCAATCTTTTATAATAGCTATTACGTGGATTATTCGTGTCTTACTTTAATTCGATTTATTTATTTCTTGTGTTAGGATAATGCTACTAACTAAAAACTAAGACAAAAAATATAGCTCAAATGAAATTGTAGTTGGCATTATAAACAAATCTTGAATATTGAATAAATAAAAGTGGAATCAAAACATAAACGCTAGAGAGCATTGTCTCTCAGCACTACACAGTTATCTGTAGGGGATCCCACCGCACCTACATCGGGGCCAAAACTAAGATCCCACTACGTGTTTTGGATGCTGAAAAGTAGGTATAACTCCAACGAAATGTCGTAGTTATGAAGACTTGAACCCAAATATTGACTGATGAAATCCGAGTTTTTACCCTCCGGGCCAACAACTCAGTTTTGGTAGTATCAATCTGCTTGGATAACATGAATGTGTGTGTTTTGTGTGTCTCTATGTGTGTGAGGGAGAGAGAGAGAGAGAGAGGATTTGAATAACCAGATGTGATGAGCAAGAAGGTGGCCAGGAAAACCAACTTGAGTGAAGCTTTCTCCATTTTAAGCTGCAGTTTGTGGTGTCCTAGTGGAATGATGTCCAGTGGGCTATATTTATATAGTGGGGGGATGATTCATTTTTAAATGCAAGATTACACAACAAACTCACAGGAACAAACTGCAAATTCAATCTACAATGGAGACTCATCGACTACCTTGCATATGGAAGGTATAATTTATTGTTTAAGGCTAAAAAAACATCTTGTGTTTTCATGTATAGCAGGTTCTTAAATATGGATTTAGTATCATTTTACAAGCTTTAATTTTTTTTTCCTAATCTAAAAAAACTAATATGATAAGTTTATTGTTATTATACTTACCTATGCTACTGAAAAATCTATTAAACACAAAAGCTAAAAACGATATATTTAAGGTGTGCAATAAAAAGAGATTAATTATGACATTTTATTGAAAATGAAGTTAGTTACAACTACTTATAATTCGGTGTCCAACGAGTTTTCATACTTTGATACCATTGTTTGATAATTTTGATGATACCAAAAATAATCCAAGGTTAAGTTCGGTCGAAAAGCAGCTTAGAGACATGTCCCTAATAGGGGCTCGTATGATGACGTTAGAATCTGGGTTCTAGTTTGAGATAACTAAGATTGGGTGACTGAGCTGAGCTTCTAATCCCTAGTTGCCCAACTTAGACCTTCCAGCTCATGATTCTTAGCTCGGGAACTGTAGATTGGGAGTCAGCACCAATGTGACTCTCGTTCACACTACGATAGCAACATTTCACATATTTTAGAAGGTCATGTCGCGCCTAGAGAATGTAGTATTCAGTGACCAAATATTCAATCACATGGGTTGTGATAACTCCGAAGGGTTACGCAACAACCATTCTCCTACACACTATAAACAGGAATCAATCCCTCGCACTGTAAAATTTTGTAATCGTCTTCCCCAAGCAATAGAAAACTCCCCCAGGAGTAAGAGACTCTATTAAAGTGTATTAGTTAAGCTTCCAAGCTGGCAAACTATTATAAATTACTTGTCTAACAGTCTCATCCATGATTATTATCCTTTTATCGATTATTTAACCATCGAGAGCCTAGTAGCTTTGACTGGGTATTCAAGTGAACTCTATTAATGTCTCTTATGAATCTCCAATCCATTTCCTCCTTTCAGAGTCTCAAAACTCTGCTACACAACCGCGTAAATTAAACTATCAAATTTCATGGTCAATATTTTCGAAAAATAAAATCATTCACTATATACATAATCATGGTATCAATCATGCTTTATTATTCATTCGGTTAAAACAACCAAATCTTCACAATCATCTTAAAAATGATAGTGGTTATCGCAACTAATAAAATCAATGTCAAAGTCACAATTAGGTAAACTAGTTGATAGACCACGTCTTTTTCTTGTTTTAAACATTTTTTGAGCAAAACCTCAAATTCCTGTAAGATTTAAAAACTCAATGCTTAATATAGTTAGGAAGTTGATCAAAAAGTTTCACAAGTTACCTAGATCTGAGTCTATACTAATTTTTTTTTTAAAATGTATTTTTTTTAGAGGGGGAGGAGGAAATGGGGTTTAAACCTTTAATCTCAAGAAGACAAAACTTTTACGATATAAGGAGTACTATTGGACTAAAGACCCATTGGTAGTCTATACTAATTAATATGAAAAAAAAAACATATAAAACTCATAGGAAATGGCTAGAAATAACAGCCCACCCTAATCCTTGAGAGGCTCCGCTACTGCGTGTGGAGGCAATTATATATATATATATATATATTATATGATAAGAAACCTTTTCAAAATAAACTATTACAAAGTAATAGTATACATAATGTTTTCTTACAGTTTAAGTTGTTTAGATTATTTAACAGCCCTACAACTAGCACAACAGCTCCATCCGGATTAAAACTAGTGACGATTCGAAAATAAATAATACCTGATGTTTCAAGTTTCCTACCAAATACAAAGCAGTGGACTCATCCGTTTCTCCGCGTCCTGAACCAACCTGCACCGGCCATCGTTATTTACCAAGTCTATTGACGATAACAACATGACGACTATCCTTCGAGAAGAATGACCCTTCATGCAATCACGGGTTCGCTTTCTAATGTTTAAAATTAAGCATACATACCCCCCCCCCCCCCCCCCCCCCCCCCAAAATCCACACACCCAACCACTCACAAAAAGATAGAAAGAAACTCGAGCATAAGTGCATGTACTTATCTAGGGTATGCTGCTATATATGAAGAGTTGACATCAATGAGACTTTGATTAGAATGAATTGCTTAAACATTTTTACAATTTGTATTTGAATCCGCTCAAACAAGAAATCTTATATGGAAATCCATGGAACACGAGTGGCGGGTTGTAAGGGGATATAAAAAGATGTTGAACTTAAGACTTGTGAATTACAAGATATTAGGCACAATCACTGAATTATCCCCAAGACTATCTCCAATCCTAATTTAAATTTAGATGTAAATTTAAATTTAAGTAAAAAAATTTCAAAAATTTACTGTACCCTTTACTCGAATTTATACCAATTTAAGAGAGACTCATTTTTTTTATTCAAATCAATGGAGACTTAAATTATTACACAAATCTTTATTGATGAGATTTCATTATCTTTTAAAGATCCAATGGTCATCTTTATTCTTTTAAATTTAAATTTGCTCTCTCTCTTTCTTTAAATTTGAGTTTGTTTATTGAAACCTTTTGTATTAAATCAAGATTTGTACTCAAATATTAATTTAAATTTGAATAAAAATTTGAATTATAGTTGAAGATGCTCTAAGTTGAGAACCGAATTCTTTATGGTCTTCTGGTTATCAATGGGTTGCATCATTGGTGAAATCTACCACAAATTAAGTACAAGCAGGGTTATTTTATTGATAAATTATCTGAAGAGTGTTTGCTAATTGTATAGGTTAAACCTCTCTGTCACTATTTCAAACATTCAATACCACAATAAAGTATGTGGGAGTGGTTGGCACTCTCTCTCTCTCTCTCTCTCTATTCCAAAGATTCCGTTCAAACACAATAGTACCAGAAAACTCACCCGTTCTATAATCTAGAACGAGTAACGTGTTGATGAAGTTTGTCTATGTAGATTCAACGCCGGCGGAGAAACATAAACAAGTAGCCGCATCTAATCTCCTTTTTATTTTTACACAAATTGCCCCGTTTCTTTCATTAAGATACTTGTGCATGCCATAGAATTTCTAAAGAACACTAAGAGAAAAAAAAAATTAATTACTTGGTGTCCTCCTATCATTTTCTCCGTTCACTTTATTTTTAGATTACATAATTAAAAAATATATATTATTATTTAAAATATAAACATTACACAATCAATATTCGATTTTTTGTATTGTAGTGCCAAGAATATGTTTAAACACAAAGTTTTACTTTATTATCTAATAGAAAAAAATAATGCGGTATATTTATATTTTTTATATTATATTTAATAATTAAAGATTCATTAAACATAAAAAGTTCCAAAAGTATGAATCCATCCATAGTCTATGCAAATAAAAAATAACAAAAAAGTGATTAATTATAACTCTTTTACACAAAAAATGAGGCTCTTTTACTCAAATTTTTTTTATTGATAATGGAGTGAACAATTTACAAGAGATTTGTTATTGGCTAAAGAATGGAACCAGTTTTATTGTATGATTAATGCTCAATTTTTAATAATATATAGTTTGAAAATGAGTTCATTTTCATGAATGTTGCGTATGGAAACATGCCACAATTTTCTATCTAAATCAATTTCTTTTAAAATAAAGCAGAAGCTGGAGTTGTCATTGTTAATTAATTATGAAAGTCAATGTTGATCGCAGCTACTTCATCAAGAGTAGCTTACATCATTCTAAATTCCAACATTGTCACAATGAGTTGGTGATCAAAAGGGGATTCTCTTATTGGGATCTTCGTTGATCAGATTCATATACATTGGGATCTTTTAACCTCTGCAAAAATGAATAGAAGGAAATTTTATGGCTAATGCATTAGCTAAATATGCTGATATTTGTAAGGAAATAAGATGCTGGACGAATGTTTGCCCGGACTTTTTTTATCCTCTCCATTACAAGGAGAGAGTTCATTGTTGATGAGATAAAATTTTGAGCCGTTTCATATAAAAAAAGAAAAGGTTTCTGAACCTATGCTGTAATTTGATGGATAAATCTATGGCACCTAAAACAATCACTATTACGTAAAAAACGATTGGCAATCATAAAATTTTGATTTAATGCATTTATAGTCATTAAGATAAAAAATAATAATGTACAGTGAATTAATAAAACAAGAAATTGTACGCGTCATTTTTATTAGACAAAAAAAAAAGAGATAACACTGGAAAGAGATTTTTTAAGCAATAATTGGAGAGAGAGAGAGTGATAAGGAAAGTTGAATTGATTTTCGAACTGTAATTGTTTCCCTCTATACTCTACATAAGCCCCTCTCTTGTCACCTTGTCTCGTACCCCACATCAATTTGCCCACCTCCCCTCAGCCTTCCTTCCTTGCATCCCTTTTTATATCTTCTTCATCCACGTATCTCCCTTTCAGCCCATCTTTCTGTCAAGAACCAGAACGGAAGACTTCCTCTCTTGTAGTTCAATCTACATATCTCATAGTACTCTGCCCACTTCGTAAAAAAATTGGTGTCGATTCTGTATATGCTTTACAAGTAGCTACACTTGGTTTTTTCTTAAGCAAAGAGAAAAAAAAGGAATTGGCTCTGTATATGTTCTACAAGTAGCTACATTTATTTTCTTCTTAAAGCTAAGAAAAACCCTTCAGTGCTCTCTCATTACTTTACTATAATTATCAAGTGCTAGGGAATTCTAGTGAAACCAATCAATATGAATATAGCCACTGGACAGATGGGTCGTTCGCAATCCATGATCGAGAAGGCCAATAACTGGTTAAGGTGTTCTGGGATTAGTTCAACCGTCAAAAGCTGTACCTTTTGGTTCCTCTCGCCATTTAAAAAACTAGAAACGTCAGAGCAGCCATCACTATCCATCTTAGACTCTACGGTCATCCAAAATCAGCCTCAATCATCAATTGACGGTGTGTCATCGACCAAAGATGCCAATCAAACCGTGCCTAAACTGCCAGAAGAGATGCTTGACATCTTAATCTCCATCGTCAATACACCTTCTGAGATTCCCGAAGCAGCCTCACCGCAGCGTGTGACGGTTAGTACCACCACGGAGGCGCTTCGGACACGCCAGTACCAGATTTTGCATAATATTCGGGACCAAGAACTGGGAAAAACAGTGCTTGGTTTTGTGATGCCAATGACCACTGGCCTCCTATCTGTCTACACTAAGGATACCTTGATGCTACCAATATACTTAATTTTACTGTCACTGTGCATAGGTACGGCGGCCTTGTGGAATGCTATGTTACTCCGCCATACCTTCCCGGGCTTCCCTAAAATTGCAAGCATTATTGAACAACTTGGAACTGCTTGTATTTTGTTTGCATTTTTCGGGGTGGTTGGGTCTTTTTTTCCACCAACGATTGTTGGGGCAGTCTGGTTATGTTACGCTCTCACCCTATTACCGCTGCTCTTGAGTCATCTTCCTACAAGAGAAAACTCCTCTGAATTGATAGGCCCTTAAAGCTTCATATGATTGTGGTTACACAACGCATGTGGACTCTTATGCTGCTCTTATAAAGTTGCTGAAAATATTGTTACTTGTTCAACAAACTTCTGAGCATATCTATTCCCAGTTTTTTCATGTAATATTTGCTTTTGTTAAATAAAACATATATATATATATATATATATATATATATATATATATATATATTGATTTTCTTCTTCCCGTTTAGTTCCTGTCATATCCTTCAACTAGCAATACCCGTGCATTAGGAATACGGCATTCAATCCGACAATATGGTCGGGAAAGAGACAACCTACTCGCCAACAAAGGGTCAAGATAGCCCACAAAAATTTATAACCACCACCATAATAGAAAATGAATTCTATTTTAACAATTTTATAGTTGATGAACCACTGAAAGTCATCCGCATTCTACATCCTAGGTAGCCTACATATTTATATCATCGGAGTATTTTTCAGCCTTCCTCTCTCATACTCCCTAATTTTCTAAATTCCTAAAAAATTGCGTAAAATAATCAACGAACAATTTTAAAGGATTTAAATCCAATTATACTTTAACCTAAGTACAGTCTGAATTTAAATCATATGAGAATTTGTTGGTCTAGCTCTATCTCCAACGACCCCCCCCCCCCCAAAAAAAAAAAATCCAAAAACAAAGATCCAAATTCTCTCTAATACTCCTTTCTTCCATTGAAAAAAAGGCTTATAGTGACCCAAGTTTCATAACAATCATCATTCTAGATTGAAAAATTAGGCATGACTTTCGGTTCTTCCCATTGTTTATTGAAAATAGCATTCCGAATTTCTTAAGTATGCCTTATGTGAAGAAGACCCAACCTCAACGACGCTCACCACTCTTTCTTGGGAACTAAAGAGTATGAATAGGTATATAAATCTTATCATAAACAATTATTTATTAAAAAAACACTGAGAAGTTCGAACAGACTCAACACAACACAACACAAACACATACAGATCTATGCATATATATGCACTTCTGGGTTTCATACAGAAAAAGGAGAGAGGAGAGGGGCAAAGATGATTTTTTCTGTATCGTCTGGTGGTCTAATACAGAGAAAAGAGAGATGAGGGAAAGAGGAGAGAGACAAAGAGAGAGAGAAGCGACGGAGAGGAGAGATGGATGAAATGGGTTTTTATACTTCAACTAAAAAAAAAAGTCTTGTTTTGCTATTAAAAGGAGTCAAAGTTTGAATTTTATTAATTTCTAAGCCTTTTGCGCGTGTTGTCTTTGTTTTTGGTGTTTTTTAGAATATCTTTTTTTTGTTCCCATTTTTGTCTTTGTTTCCAAACTATTAAAAACAGTACCCAAACATATTTTTATTTTATTTTTGACAAAAATTAAAAACAAAAACACAAAAAATAAGATAAAAACAGTTATCAAACAACCCCTCGTTATTGTTATGACTTCCATGGGTTGGGCCACGTCCAAGGCACAAGAAAATGGCTGTCGGCCATCCTAGCATTGTGATGTCGCCTGCCCCGCTCAAGCCCACCCAAGCCAAATGAAGGGACTGGGCTTATTTGTTTTTCAAAGGGAAATTTCGGTGTGATTACACTTTTTAGGTGCTACTGGATCATGCACACGTGCATTGCACGTGAATTTTTTGAGTTATGATTTTATTTTTAAAATAATTAAATAAATATAATAACAAATACCTACTTATAAATATAATCTTTTGAATATTTCTATTATATAATTTGTGTAATTTGTAATAGACATAACACTACATATTTCCATAACGAATATTAGTTTTTATTGTTTTATTTTCTCTTAAGTTTTGATGAATTAAATTGTTGTAAACCTCTACCCTTAAATTTTAGAACTTTTCACATGAAATTAATTATTTAGATTAATTTTATTTGCAACATCATAGTAATGGTACAAATATATTTTATAGTATGTGGGTATATATAACTAAAAAATATCATAGACACTTATTAAATTATAAAAAATACGGAAGCGATCTATTTTAAGTTATCCTGGTCATTTAATTATAAACAATTGGTTGAATAAATTTAAAAAGTTAACTTATGATAAGTAATTTAATGTGAGATTGAACATATTCGTAACATTGCTAATCGATACAAATAAAATAGTTTTTAGTATTGCCAATAAATATAACTAAAAAGGATTTATTAAAGCTAAAACATAAAAAGAGAAGAAAATGAAAAGTTAGGGTTTAATAATATTATTCAAATTATATTAAAATAAATCTTATATTAAATAAGACTCTAGTGCATTTATGCAATTTCATTTGAAAATTCAGAAATTTGTCATCAACTAATAAAAATAGATAGACAAAAATAAAAGTAAATTTAATTATTTTAATAATTAATTTTTTTTCTTTTAAAAGAAAGAATATGAAAGGCTTGGATATGTGTAATATTAATGAAGTTTTTATTAATATGAATTTCATATTAATAATGTTAGTATTGTGAGAGTAAAGTTATCCAATTGAAAGTATAATTGGATATATGTAATCTCTAGTGCATTTATGCGTAACTTTTGTAAAGTTAATTATGCGTGTAGAAATGTATGTTATTTGTTTATACATCATTTGATATATACATATATCATGTTTATCAATTACATATTATGTATACATTAATTTCATTTATAGATAAGTATTTATATTTTTTCTAAAAAAATATAATAAATATTTAAAACATAAAAAAAATCAATCATTTTTATTTTGCATCCCTCCTACCAAACACAAAGAAGAGAAGGAAAGATTCATTCCTTAAAGGATAAAAAGTGTATCATTCTAATTTTTCATCCTTCAATTTTTCTATCCACCCTACCAAACAGGCCAAAAGTAATTTTTTTTTCCAAGGTAAGCACAGGCTCCCCTAGCCCCTTACTCCTTCTGTTCCTGATATTCAGATGCGGGGCATTGCTAATTTATATAATAAGGGAGTTAGATTGTTTATCTTGAACTTTTCGCGGCTCAGATTATTTGAGAATCATTGATCCGACGAGCCTAATTAGACTTAATTTTAAGACTCTCATCTCTCATATAACTCACCACTCTTTCTCTATCTCCTATTTTTTGGACATTTTAAATACATTCTCGCATCTCTCATATAAAACTTTCTCTATCTGTATTCATATCTCTTTTAAACATACAGTCTTGAGCTTTTCGTAGCTAAAATCATAAGAACATTATTGACCAAATACTCAAAACTCCTTCAAAATATTTTTTTGCCCAACATTATCAACAAACTTCTTTTCATTCTAGGACTCTGAAAAGACTTATCTTCACCACTCATACGTCTAAGTCTCTCACTTTATCTGACCTTCTCTACACTTCCACACAAATACAATACATTTCATTACTTTGCCAGCCATCATCACCAACAAAACGCCACCATATCTCTCTCTCTCTCTCTCTAATTGCCACCGCCCCTCACGCCCAAATCAACAACCCTAACCATCGCCATCACACACGACTTCTTTTCTTGCTCTTTGTCTCAACCCCTACAACCTCTCACACACAACCACTGCCTTGTCACCTCCATCCCTCTCTCTGATTCTTTATGGATTTTGCATGTATGATTTCAAAATGTTTGTTAGTTTGCCTCTGAAGAAAAATATAAGCTCATTTTTTAACTTTGACAGGTATAAACCATGAGTTTTAAATTCTGGGTGGTTTTAAGAATTAAGTTTTAATTTTACTATCAAGAAAATATGTGAATTTCATTTTTAAAAACATTATTCATCTCTCAGTGCCAACCCATCTGATGAGATGCACCATTCTTATTCCAAGACATAATGATCTTTTGGTGGTGTCTATTTCAGCTATAGGGGTTATATATTTCAAAGTTTATGTATGTGGTGTGTTTGCTCTAAACAACACTTTATAAAGTTTATGCTTTTTGATTTTGTTCATCATGATTATTTTCTTTGATATAAAATTGTTGTCGGAGCTTAAGAGTATGAGCATGGTTGAGTTTCAAAATCCAAACATAAAGGTGATAGTACGCTTCACTTCATTGCTATACAAATTGTCTGAACTTTAAATAATATTGAGAATATGCATATTTGCTAATATGATAATTACATCGTCTAGATACATATTATGTTTGAATGGATTTATGATTAGGGTAAGAGATGGTCTTGCTTGATCTAGCTATAATTTCAAGTTTCTGTTGCAATTCTATGGGTTGGTTAATTTCAAGTTATATTGGTTGTCACTACTCCTATGATATGTTTGTTGATTGGTAAAAAGTTGTTGGATTTGGGTAATTTTAGTGTATATGATGAATTGGGTTCTTGATCTAACAGAAATTTTTGTTTGCTAACATTGCAATTCTATTTGTTTGTATTAAAGTAATTTAAATGGCTTTATGATTTTAAATTGAAAATTTGGTTGAAGAATGGTATGCTCACTTTGCATGATATAAAGATAATGAAGGTAAGAAGCTTCTTTTTTATTTTTTTTATACCTAATGTGATAAGTAGCTTGATTTTGGTATAGGTCATTGCAGGGGCGACCCAACAAATTCGGAGGCCCTAGGCAAGAATATGAAGCGACGCCCTATTAATAGGCAACAATTATTAAAATGTATTCTTTTAAAAGCTATTTTTCTAGCTTTTTGAAATGCAAAAATATTCATTAAATTTTTATATTAAAGTTTTGTTATATAGCTTTTTCAATAGATAATATAGTTAATCAATTTAATCTTTTTTGTGACATAATTGATCGGAGATAAGATTTTGTTAATTTAAATTTTGAAAAACTTTTCTCTACTGATGCAATTGTTACCGCAATATTCTAAACGCTATACATGCTTTTCGAAAAGAATCTAATCGTTTTATATAAGTTAGGTCTTCCACAATCAACTATCAAGATTCAAGCATTTAAGTTTTTGTCAGAAAATAATAAATCAACAATAATATCAAAAATATGAAATCAACTTATTACAAATTCTAAGCACACCAAACTTCTAAAAATTTCTAATAAAAAATGAGAGAACAATTGAACAAACCAGTTTATTATAATAGATTGAGCCCAAAAAATTTTGACCCTTGAATCTTGATTGCTATCAATTAATTGATGGATTTTTGAACTACAAGAGAATAGAGAGCTTTGGTGTTCTTTCTTTCTTCAGATTCAGGCTTCACACTTCACACAGAGAGGGCATGAGGGAGTGGCATTAAACAAACACTGTGGTTTGTGAGTGAATCTCGTAATGATAACAGTTGATAAATTTGTGCGAGAGAGATAGAGTGATGTAGGGAGATTTGCCTAATTCCTTCACAGATGAGAGAGAAAGAGAGACATCTAATAGTCTACCTTCCTTGTTTCAGAAGTCTAGCAATCTACTATAGTTGGCAAGTAGAAAAAATTTTCTAGGTAAATTGTTGTAGTGTTAGTGGACCTATCAATAAAATTTTGGTCCTCTCAGATTAGCCCATCCAAAATGTATGTACCCATAAATAAAACTCTTAATAGAGGGTCCCAAATTTTACAAAAATTGGGGGCACTAGGCCGCCAACTAAGTGGCCTAGGCTAGAGCCGGCCCTCGGTCATTGCTTACATTCAAATTGCATTTTTAACTATGCAATACTACTATTTCAATGTAGTATGACATTTTGGGTTTGACTTTTGTAGTGCATGTGGATTGGGAATTAAATGTTCAAGATATGAAATGAGTTGACGATTCATTTATTTTTTATTTAGAATTGATGGATTGTAAACTTTGATTTGGTGTAACAGTGTCAATACTTGGCCGTCAAGAAACTGAATACTTGGCTGTTAAGAAATTGCAAAATAGATGAATTTGACATTCAATCGGTCGAGCATATGTGGCAAGTAATAAAAAAGGAAAATTATACATAAACCTCCTGAAGTTTGTCACTTAATTATTTAAATCTCATGACATTTGAAATATTACACACAAACTCCTTGAGATTTGTACGGACGTAACACTTAGACCTCCTGTTGTAAATATATCTGTTAATAAATTATACTTAAATTTCCTAAAGTTTGTAGATATATAATACTTACACCTTTTAAGTTTAAAATATTATACTTAGATCAAAAATACTCTAATCAAATATAAAATATAAAATATTTTAAATTTAACAACTAAAATTCATGTTCTATTGTATTACTTATTGAAATAAAATCAAAAATAAAAATTCAATTTTTTCTTAAAAAATTGTAATTAATATATAATTATATTGTCTATTAGAATTTAATTTAGTTTTTTAAACAACCAAATTAAAATACCAAACTACACCAATTAAATCTAAAAGATATCGTGTCCGTTGCAATTTGATTCATTGTTTAATTTTTTAGTTTCGTTCTGATAGAAAGTATAAATATATACTAACTATTTTTTTTTTAAAATAAATTTTTATTTTTGATTTTATTTCAATAAATGACGTAATAGAACATGAATTTTAGATGTAAAATTCATGTTCTATTATGAATGACTTAGATCCATTGTTTGATTTTTTTTAGTTTTATTCCAATAGATAATATAATTGTATATTAATTATAATTTTAAAAAAAATTTAATTTTATTTCAATAAATGATACAATAGAACATGAATTTTGATTGTAAAATATAAAATATTTTATATTTGATTTGAGTATTATTGGTCTAAGTATAATATTTTAAATTTAAAGGGTCAAAATATTATATACCCACAAATTTAGGAGAGTCTAAGTATAATCTATTAACAGATATATTTACAACAGATGTCTAACTATTACGTGTATACAAATTTATGGGGTCTGTATGTAATATTTTAAATATTAAGAGGTCTGGATAATTAAGTGACAAACCTCAAGAGATCTGAGTGTAATTCTCCCTAACAAAAAAGACTAAGTTACACTAGCACTCATGGAGGGTGATGTACTTTGGATTAGATTTGGGTTATTGCATTTTTTTTTGAAATTTTTTCTAAATCTTTGTCTGTTGCTCTATGTTGCATGATTAAGTTTGATTGCTTTGTGTATATTTTTTTTTTGGTGAAATAATCTTTACACTACCGTGAAGGGCTTTGTATGATAAATTCTAGATTATATAAATTTTCATTCCCTTTCATAATGTGTTTTTCTTTCTCTTTTTTCTCTTTTTTGGGTCTTGGGATCATTTATAGACGAAGTAATCTGTTTGGTTTCAAATTTAGATTCTTTCCTGTTTTGTGTTCTCTAAAGTTATAAATTTTATTTGGTTTTGATAGTATTTTTTTAAGGTATTTATATATATGGTTGTTTTTGGGGAGTTTCTTTATTCATTTTTATAATAGTTCCAGGATATAGTCGACGGTATATTTTAGGTCATTTTAAAAGAATAATTAGTATGAATTTTTTCAAACCATTCTTTTGAATCTGGACAATTGCTTACTATTTTTTTTTTGGTTACATGGTGCTTTCAAATACGGGTAATGACTAATATCTAATATTAGAGTTAGGAAATTAAATTCTCAACTTATAAAAACACAACAACACTCAAGATTTGTTTTTCCATTCAACAACGCTCAAGTTCAATTCTCAGTTCTCAACTTATTTATTGTGATCCAATGATACAAAATTTATCTCAAATTTTATTCTTCGTTCGAAAACGTCATTTTTTTTTTCTCAGCACAACCCCAAAGTTAGACAAGTCATAAAAACACTTTCCAATATCAAAGATCTCCATTACTCCAGACTTACCTCTCCCTTACATGTCTCTTATTTTTTTCAATTAACTTTAATTTTAAATTACGTAATTAAAAAAAAATTATTTAAAATATAAATATTATACAATTAATGCTCAATTTTTAATAATACATAGTATCTTCAGCCTCGTGCTCAGTTTGACTTTCATGAATGTTGCCTATGGAAACCTTTGCTCAACTGTCTTCCTTACGTCAAGGAAATGTAATTGGATATCGCTTGGCTCGGCCTGCAACAACTTTCTATGTAAATCAATTTCTTTTAAAACAAAACAGAAACCGGAGATGTCATTGTTAATTAATAAGCAATATTATATAAATTTAAAAGTAGACTTAATAATTTCATCCGTTGATTTTACTGTGGGTCCCAGTATTTATTAGAACTCATTATCTATTCAATGGTTGAAATTATCAAATCTAATTTTTTAGTCCATTTAGTATTACTTTTAATTAATTATGAAAGTCAATGGTGACCGCAGCTACGTCATCGTCATTGTCTTACATCACTCTAAATCTAACATTGCCACAATGGGTTGGTGATCAAAAGGGGATTCTCATATTGGTATCTTCGTTGATAAGATTCATATATTTATGTTGATCGGTTAACTTCTGCTAAATGGATCAGACGAGAAGGAAATTTTATGGCCAATGCATTAGCTAAATATGATTTGCCCTGACTTTTTGTATTCTCTTCTTTAACATGAGAGAGTTCAATGATGATGAAATAAAATTTTGTGCCGTTTCAGATCCAAAAAAAAAAATTTTGAACCTATGCCGTAATTTGATGGATAAATCTATGGCACGTAAATTAGTATTACGAATCATAAAATTTTGATTTAATATATTTATAGTCATTGAGATGAAAAATAATAAAGTACAGTGAATTAATAAAACAAGAAATTGTATTCACATCATTTTTATTAGACCGAAAAAAAAGAGAGATAACACTGGAAAGATATTTTTATGCAATAATAATAAGTAGAGAGAGAGAGTGAGTGAGTGAGTGATAACTGATAAGGCAAGCTGAATTGATTTTCAAACTGTAATTGCTTTCCCTGCGTGCAAGCCTCTATACTATACATAAGCCCCTCTCTTGTGAACTTGTCTCGTATCCCACTTCAATTTCCCGACCTCCCCTCAGCCTGCCTTCCTTTTTATATCTTCCTTATCCACGTATCTCCCTTTCATATTGCTCTCTCTCTCTCTCTCTCTCAAACACACAGAATTCAGCCCATCTTTCTGTAAAGAACCAGAACGGAAGACTTCTCTCTTGTAGTTCAATCTAAATATCTCAAAGTACTCTGGCCATGTCGTAAAAAAAAAGGTGTCGATTCTTTATATGCTTTACAAGTAGTCAGAGGCGACTCAAGGTAATTTGTGGTATCTATAAATGAGATTTTTTAAGTTTATATAAATTTATTTTTCTTACCTTTGAAATGAAAAAATACTAATTAAGTTTTATATTCAAGTTTTGCTATCATATTTTTTATCAATTAATAGTATCACTAATCTAACTAATCTCTCTAGTGACATAGTTGGTCATTTTTTGTTTGGTATTAGCCAACTTGGCTTCTAGAGAGAGAGAGAGAGATTTGTAAGTAACGATTTGATTTTATAATTTTCTTTTATCATTAATTTTTAAATTTTTAATTTTTTAGGTTTTTAATGTTTGAGTTGGATTATGGGCCTAAATGATTGAATTTAAATTATTTTTGATTGGGTATGTATTTTTATGATGCCTTTTTATCAAGCTTAAAATATTTATGAATTTAATTTTTTTCAAATGAATTATTTAAAGTATCAAAAATTTGGGTACTTCCATAAAAATGAGGACTAAAGCTTTTTTATTTCTACTGTTAAGCCGCCCCAGCAAGTAGCTACACTTTGTTTCTTCTTAAGCAAAGAAAAAAAAATTGGAATTGGCTCTGTATATGCTCTACAAGTAGCTACATTTAGTATCTTCTCTCTCATTACTTTACTATAATTATCAGGTGCTAGGTGAAAACAATCAATATGAAAATAGCCACTGGACAGTTGGGTCGTTCGCAATCCATAATCGAGCTGTGTTCTGGGATTAGTTCAACCGTCAAAAGCTGTACCTCTTGGTTCCTCTCGCCATTTAAAAAACCAGAAACGTCAGAGCCGCCATCACTATCCATCTCAGACTCTACAGTCATCCAAAATCAGCCTCAATCACCAACTTACGGTGCGTCGTCGAACAGAGAAATCAATCAAACCGTGCCTGAACTGCCAGAAGAGACGCTTGACATCTCAATCTCCATCGTCGATACACCTTCTGAGACTGCCGAAGCAGCCTCACCGCTGCGTGTGATGGTTAGCACCACCAAAGAGGCACTTCGAGTTCGGACACGCCAGTACCAGATTTTGCATAATATTCGGGAACAAGAACTGGGAAAAACAGTGCTTGGTTTTGTGATGCCAATGACCACTACCCTCCTATCTGTCTACACTAAAGATTCCTTGATGCTACCAATACACTTAATTTTACTGTCACTGTGCATAGGTATGGCGGCCTTGTGGAATGGTATGTTACTCCGGGATACCTACCCCAAAATCGCAAGCATTATTGAACAACTTGGAATTGCTTGTATTTTGTTTGCATTTTTCGGGGTGGTTGGGTCTTTTCTTCCACCAACGATTGTTTGGGCAGTCTGGTTATGTTACGCTCTCACCCTATTTCCGCTGCTCTTGAGTCATCTTCCTGCAAGAGAGAACTCCTCTGAATTGATAGTCCCTTAAAGCTTCATATGATTGCTGTTATACAACGCATGTGGCTTCTAATGCTGCTCTTATAAAGTTGCTGAAAATATTGTTACTTGTGCAACAAACTTCGGAGGATATCTATTCCCAGTTCTTTCATGTAATATTTGCTTTTGTTAAATAAAACATATATATATATATATACATTGATTTGCTTTTTATCTTCCCGTTTAGTTCTTGTCATATCCTTCAACTAACAATACCCATGCATTAGGAATAATGCATCCAATCCGACAATATGGTCGGAAAAGAGACGACATACTTGCTAAAGGGGTCAAGATAGCCCAAAAAAATTATAATTATCTAGTCATGTAATGTATAACATATCTATTAGAAAAATTTTAATCAAACCCTTTTTAGTTTATTATATTTTCAACGATACTCTTTCTGTTATCTAAAACATCATACTTCATATTTAAACATCACTGACACCTCATGTCTTTAAACCACTGTTTCTAACAAAAAAATTAACTTAAAATACAAAAATTACCCCTATATAAACCTAAGCAATTTTTCTATATAAAATTTAATTAAAATTCGAGCTGATTAATTTTTTTCTATATATTAAAATTCGAGTTGATTAAATTTCGTGTCAATTAAAATTTGATTCAAATTAATTAAAATTTTAATCCCCTCAAATAGAATCTTAATCGGCTCAAATTTTAGTACGTAAAAAAATACAATATTTAATCCACTAAAATTTTAATACGTAAAAAATGACTTTTAATTAGCTCGAATCAAATTTTAATTGGCCCAAATTTTAATATATAAAAAAATTTAGAAAATAGAGGGGGTTTCATTGAAGATATGTATGTCTAGAGAGAGTGTGGATGAATTTTTCCTAAAATATATTATGAGCAATTTAGTAACATTGCATTATAGTTAATACCTTTAATCTGTCATGGGGTGTTAGTAAAAATTCAAAACATAGAGGGGGTGTCCTCGAAAATATGAAAAATTAGAAGAAGTGTGACTAAAATTTTCTCTTATCTACTTTATAATTTTTTATTGAATGATTACACCACATCCCCTGATATCCCAACAAATTAGGGTACCTTATCATTGCTTGAGTGCCACTCAATTAGGTAATATAAATAGGCAAAACCCTTCTTTGTAATTTGAGCGAGTTAAAATTAAGTCGAACTCAGAGCTATTTAGATTATTTAACAGCCCTACAACAAGAAATGTAGCTCCATCCAGATCGAAACTAATGAGATTCGATAACCTAGCATTCTTACTCTTAATTTTTCATGTCTTATTCTTCGCACGTTTTCTTTTAAATTTTTTTTTGTGGAAGATCACCAAGCATGGATTCAAGCCGGCCCGTTATATGTAAGTGAGTCCTTCACTCATTAGCGGTTAATAATCTATCAAAAGAGAAATGAAAAAAATATATATTTTTTGGAAATAATCTGGATCCTAAATGTTTTGGTAAAACATTAAAAATCATTGCTCACTTTGAGTCCGAATAAATTTTTGGTGACAAGGTTGTCTCCGTAATACAATGTATCGTAACTCATTGTTATGGCTTCCATGGGTTGGGCCAAGTCCAAGCATGGCACATAAAGAGGGCTCTCGGCCATCCTGGCATTTTAGTGTGGCCTGCCCCGCTCAAGCCCGCCCAAGCCATATGAAGGGACTTTTTTTGGACAAAGCATGCACATACCTACACACGTTAGTTCACACACCAAAGTCACTCAGAACACTTACTTTCACATATGTACTTACATATATGAAGGGACTTAGCTTATTAGTTTTTGGGATTTTTGGAAATCAGTACATGAAATTTACTATTATCAAAAAAATATAGGAAAAAATATTTTATAAAAATTCCACTTAAGATGTAGAAAAACTTGAATACCCTTTTATTGTAAATCAGTTTCCAAAAAAAGATTTTAGAAATCCTCCCCCCCACCCCCACCCCCAACACACACACGTGTGTATAAAATAAAATTAAAACCTAATAAATCATACCCATTTTCTTAGGGATAAGTTCAAAGTTTTTGGAAATTTTGAAATTTGACAACTAAAATTAAAGGGTTTTAATTATATTATTTTAAAAAGTACTAAAATCAAAAAAATTTAATTTAATTTTAATTTGGTCACGTATATATATGTGTGTGTATATATATACTACAAAATCACACTATGAAATTTAGTTTCTATTACTCCTACACTGTATAAATACACTTTAAAG